TATTATAGACTTTTTCGAATTTGATAGAAAAAAACACGTAGATTCAATTCCTTTTTGCTGGACTAGTGGCCGTACATTCTTTATTTATTTACTGTTTCGACGTTTCGAATACATTTTCGTATTTCATCTTCAGGAGAATCTAAACAATATAATACACAGGGCTCGAGAAAATATATACAATAAATGTCAAAAATATTTATTTTATATTTACGATGAAACTGGCGAAATATTTACGATAAATAATTGTAAACCACTCAAAAGCCCTAGCAAATTCGAATGATTTTGGTACTTTGGAAAATTTGGTGAAACTAAAAGGTCACAAATAGTCATAAAAAATCAATATATTTCGATAATAATAATAATAGCGGCAAGGACCGCTGAAGACCATGCTGAAAAGCAAGGGCCACAGGAAGCCGTGCCGAACAGATGGAACGAGAAACTATGGATACTACTGAAAAGTAGACCCAGTATGCTCTCCGTACAAATCCAATAATCCAAGGTTAAGGTTTACTGTTTTGAGAGCCTTTAAAATGGCTTTAAAAACATTCAATCTCATAGAGAACATTTGAGAAAACCACAACACAAAGAACTAAAAACAAAAACAAAAGATCAATATTTATTACTTTTGCTTTGAGGTGTTCAAATATATTTCTAATTTGTCAGCCTTCATACCCATAGCATTTGCATTAAAATTAAATGTTATTTTTTCCCAACTGATAGAATAGAAACTAATTAAAATTTCATTCTAACTTCTATAAAAAAAATTAGCGAAGACGACGTTCACAAGTGAAATGTAAAATACATTATTGACACTTTGACTATGGACTTTCATGTCAATCAAAAAGAAAGTTTGCTGAATTGATAAATTAGTATTTGTATTGTTTTGAATTTCTGTTTGAATTATGAGTTTCAAAATTGAGTCTTCTAATTTTAATTTATATCATGTCACTTGGAATTTTTAAATAAAAAATCCCTAAAATATTTAACAGTCAAAATCAGACATAAAAAATCGTCGTGGCAAGAAATCAATATATTGATAAGCTAACACTTTTTATATAATAACATGTTATATTTATTATCAGAATCTGTTCATAAACATAGGTAGGATCGCCGTTCAACTCATACTCATCATGTTCCATAAAAAATAAAAAACATCAAGAATAGCACTGCTACATAGAAACGTTGTTCAGTGAGAGAGAGAGAGAGAGAGAGAGAGAGAGAGAGAGAGAGAGAGAGTATACACACACGCACACACAAGCATTATGTGTCCATACCATTGTTGTTATTTTTGTTGTCCCTGTGTATACAAGAGAAAAGGAGAATCTGTCCATGCACCTCAGTGTGTCAACCTTTTTGGTAACGGCATATTAAAATTTTTGATTATTTTCAGATGTGCAGTAGGAACTTCCAAAGTAGCGTTTGTACTCATAAAATATGTATGACATATGACGTGAATAATATGTATTATACTAACGAAAAGTATATACACTGTGTATGTATATTGTATATACAGATTGGAAACCGCACAAAATAGAATGAAACAATAACATAGACGAAATATATAGGAAATAAATAGCAAATATACGCACATATTTATTCAAATTTTGTGGCGCATGTTGCTATGGAAAAAAAAGAATCAAATATTTTGATTAAGTCAAATCTCTATGCAGTATACATTTATTCAATTTTAATGAATTTAAATTGCCCTTTTGGTTATTGATATGAAAGATTAATTGTAATTTTCATTGGAATAAACTTTCAGTAATTACTCAAAACAAATCTTTTGTAATCAAGCTGGTGACGTAGCTATATAGCCAGAGGTGGTGTATTTGGGAGACGTCGATCCAGAGGTGGTGTCTTTAATGTGTTTGTAGACGGAATACATCACAATCCAAAAATAGGTGACAACGGCTGAAAATTCATTAAATTAAATTAGGCAAATATTATTAACCCTTTTAACTAGATTCATTACCTGAGTAGATGCATAAACCAATAAAAGTAATCACCAAAATAACTTTTATAGCAGACGCTTCTGAAGATTTGTCAGAAGAAGTAAAAATAACAAATAGTGCCGGAATCATGAAAGCCACACCAATGTACAAAATAATGAGCCCGATTCCATTCAATATGACAGATATTAACAAATAACTTGGTTGATTCTATTAAAATAAAGAACACTATATTTGTATAAACTTCACCACTTTTATTTAAGAATTTGTTTTACCTCCTTAATTCCATAAATGCAACAAGCACTGAGAACCAATTGAATTACTGAAATTTAACACAATAATTTTAACTGAATGAAGTATTTTAATGTTTTTAATGCTTTACCCATTCCATTTCCATATACATTTCCAGTTATTAAGCTTTGAAGAATATAAAGGATAGAAGATACTACCCCTATCCAACCAACTATTAATCCACCAGTTCTTAAATCGCCACAGCAACAAAAACGAGAAACAGTTGGAAATCCCATATTTATTTATTATAATTTTTATTTAGCTCGCGATTTAAGTGAATGACATTAAATTTAACCAAATCGTTAACGATTTAGAATACACAATGGAAGACTCAAAGATGTTTCCACTTTGAGAAATAAAACCCGAATGATCACTTTGTCTGATTATTTTATTTTTGAATACAACGAAATAGAACATCCAAATGCCTAAAATACAGACTTATGCGAATATGTGTCAAAATAGATGAATGGAAAGAAATAAACGGCATGGTTACTTGCGAGCGATATTCATTGTCGAATAGATCATTCGTGTGTTATATACGCTGTCACTGTACACATATCGGTCCAAACAATTGTTGTTATTTTTTGTCTTTGTGTATAGTGGTAGAAGAGATTAGGAGAATCTGTCCACTATACAGCTAAATGTGTAAATGTTTTTGGTAACGAAATATTAAATTATATATATTATTATTTTGATGTATTTGATTATAAGCGTCACTGAAAATTTATATTTGACTATTTTCAGATGTGCAGTATGGCGTCACAGTAGGAATTTCCAAAAAAGCGTTTCGTTCTTATATAATATATACGACATAAATATCTTATGTGCTTCAGTTAATAAGACGTATTATATACTGAAAAGTATACACACACATACACAGTATACACAGATTGGAAGAAAGTTCGCACAAAATAGAACGAAAAAATATACGCACACATTTATTCAAATTTATTGGCGCCTGTTTCAAATTATTAAATCGATTTTTTTTTTCAAAAGATTGGACCTTAAGGTTTTATGAAGAAAAAGAATCAAATATGTTGATTTAGCCAAATCTCTATGCAGTATAGATTTATTCAATTTTAATGAATTTGAATGGCAATTTTGGTTATAATTTGATATGAAAGTTTAATTGTAATTTTCATTGGAGTAAACTTTCATGAAATATTCAAATCAAATCTTTTGTACTCAAGCTGGCGACATTACTACAGGACCAGATGTGACGTATTTGGGAGCCATCGATCCAGAGGCGGTATCTTTAATGTGTTTGTAGACGGAATACATCACAATCCAAAAATAGGTGAGAACGGCTGAAAATTTATTAAATTAAATTAGGCAAATATTATTAACCCTTTCAACTAAATTCATTACCTGAGAAGATGCATAAACCAATAAAAGTAATCACAAAAATAACTTTTATAGTAGACGCTTCTGAAGATTTGTCAGAAGAAGTAAAAATAACAAATAGTGCCGGAATCATGAAAGCCACACCAATGTACAAAATAATGAGCCCGATTCCATCCAATATGACAGATATTAACAAATAACCTGGTTGATTCTATTAAAATGAAGAACAACATATTTGTATAAACTTCACCACTTTTATTTAAGAATTTGTTTTACCTCCTTAATTCCATAAATCCAACAAGCACAGAGAACCAATTGAATTACTGAAATTTAACACAATAATTTTAACTGAATGAAGTATTTTAATGTTTTTAATGCTTTACCCATTCCAATTCCATATACATTTCCAGTTATTAGGCTTTGAAGAATATAAAGGATAGAAGATACTACCCCTATCCAACCAACTATTAATCCACCAGTTCTTAAATCGCAACAGCAACAAAAACGAGAAACAGTTGGAAATCCCATATTTATTTATTTTTATTTATAATTTTTATTTAGCTCGCGATTTAAGTGAATGAAAGTAAATTTAACCAAATCGTTAACGATTTAGAATACACAACGGAAGACTCAAAGATGTTTCCACTTTGGGAACCAAAATCGGAATGAGAAAAAGTGGTCTCATCATTCTATTTTTGAATACAACGAAATTGAACGCCCAAATGCTTAATATGCGGACTTTCGAGAGGATATACGGAGCTGTGTGAAAATAGACGAATGGAAATAAATAAACGCCACAGTTACTATGCGTGATGTACGCATGTTCCTCAAAAATGTTCTCATCTCAATTAACTCGGCGCCGCACCTTCTCGCATATGTGCAAATTTTACCCATTAGGCGTAGGGATGATGTCACCATGATAATTGAATGAAATGAATGCTTCAAAGAAAAACTACATCAGTGTTTGAAATAATGATTACTTTTTACAATTCATTCATTTGGCAATCAATTACCATTAGTTAATGTAAATGGGAATTTTGCATTATATTTTTTCAATTCATTAAATTGTATTTTTTTAATTTTCAATCACCATTCACATTCAAATTGAAAATGAATTGAAATTTATTTCAATTGTGTGAAGTTGCAGAGATGATGGCTTCATTTTTGTCAATCTATCGGAAAAATCTATAAAAATTTGACGCATTTGCTCTGTTTACGCATTTAAGGTTTTACCTTACAAATAGGTTTCAGTTTTTGTCAGTTTACCGGAAAATATCCCGAAAATTGAACTTCTATATTGAAAATACTATCCAAACGAGTATGGTACAATTAAGTACATTTTTGGTACAATTGTTTAAGCCTTAAGAAGTTTCGAATTTCATTTGACACTACATTTGGATCAAGAAGTTGCAATTTCATGATTTTTGTGTTCATAAACGACGCGAGCGCCCCCATTTCATATAGACATTTCAAAATAATTTAATAATTTTTTTCAGAGCTAAAATTTGAAATTTGCCGATGCTTCCACCCCCGATTTGAATATACAATACCTTATGCGGCATTTGTACACAGCTAACGCAAAACCATTTATTGTTTTTGATCTGAGGTGTTCAAATATAGTTCTAATTTGTTGGACTTCATCCCCATAGCATTTGCATTAAAATTAAATGTTATTTTTTCGCACTAACAAAAATATAAACCAGAGGCAACTGATAAAATAAGCTTTTTCAAACGAACCACACGCTTAGCGACAGAATATTTACAACAACATTATCTACAATTCTACAATAGGCTAGAATTGTGAATGTTAGAATGAACTGCTGCTTTCATTCAAATCTATATAAAAACAAATTAGCGAACACAACGTTCACAACTGAAATACTAATATATTTAGTAGAATTGACTCTTTGATTATGAACATAAGAATCACTCAAAAAGAATATTTGATAAATTGACATTTGACATGATTGTTTTGAATTTTTTATTAGTTTCAAAGTTTTAATTTATACATTTCTTAAATTACGACGGACCGATCCCTCACACCCGAAAATTCAATAAATACCAAGGAAAAAAATGGTTTCGATCGGACTCGTGTCGGGTTCGGGCAAATATGGCAACTATTTGAGCGGGTCTTGGGCCCATTCTAACGCCTCGATGCTACCTCTGGTTTCTACAACATTTGTACGAAATTATTAATTTTTTTTAAAAGATGTCCAATCACAATGTTTATGAAAAAACCGAATCAAATATGTTGATTTATCCAAATCTCTATGCAAACATGTATGTCAATTTTTGGCGCCTGCTGACATATTCAACGTGATTGTCTCTATGTAGTATACATTTATTAAATTTTACCGAATTTGAATTGTACGGCTGGTAATAAAAGAGACTTTAAGCAGAAAAAATCTTAAAAGTGTCTCATAATTTGTATAGGATTTACATAAGATGGAGACGGTTTAAAAAAAACTTAAAGTCACTTTTATTCTCAGCCGATCAATTGCAGTTTTGGTTATAATATGCTATGAAAGTTTAATTGTAATTTTCATTAGAGTAAACTTTAATTAAATATTCAAATAAAATCTTTTGTAATCAAGCTAGCGATGTAACTACATGGCCAATCCAGAGGTGTTTTCTTTTATGTGTTTGTAGACGGAATACATCATAATCCAAAAGTAGGTTAATGTGACTGAAAACATATCAAGTTAAATCAAGCAAATATTATTCACCCTTTTAGCTAGATTCATTACCTGAAACAAAGGTTACAAGAAGCAAAAATCCAAAGGTAATTCTATCATCATCGTCAGAAGAAGGCGAAGCTATCAAAAGTACCACAGCAAGAACAAACACACAAATATACAAACAAATGAGCACTATTCCATCCAATATGACAGTAAATAACATGAAACTCGGTCGATTCTACAATATTAAAATTAAAAAGACATTGAAGAAGACATTCGTTTAAATCAGACATCAGGCTTCGAACTATGCATATAGCGGCTGCTATTTCATAGGCGCTATTTAACTCGTTTTAATAGCAGCCGTTATATCCATAGTCCACACCCAATGTCTGACTGTAAATTTCACCACTTTTATTTAAGAATTTGTTTTACCTCCTTAACTCCATAAAGCCAACAAGCACTGAGAACTAATTGAATTGCTGAAATTTAACGTAATAATTTTAATTGAATGAAGTCTTTTGATATTTCAAATACTTTACCTATTGAATGTCCAAGTGTATTTCCAGTTCTTAGGCTTTCAAGAATATAAAGGATAGAAGATACTACCCCTATCCAACCAACTATTAATCCACCAGTTCTTAAATCGATACAGCAGCAAAAATAAGAAACGGTTGGAATTTTCGAAGTCATATTAAACACTTTATAATTTTTATTTGTCTTCGAGAGAGAATGTTGGATGAAAGTAAATTTAAGCAAATGCTTTACGATTAAGAATATACGATGGAAGATACACAGATAATTTCGCCTTGAAAACTAAAACTGTAATGATATGAAGCGAAGATGTACGAAGCAAAGATAGATGAATGAAAATGAATAAAAGATATGGTTACCATCTGTAGTATACGCATGTGCTTCAAAACTGTTTTCTGGGGGACGGACACAAAATCTAGTAAAATCTAGTTTCATAGTTTAATTTTGATAATATTTTTCTAATATTAATAAAAAAATCTACTATTATAACTATACAGACATACTAATATTGCTAATATTAGCTCACTAGTATAAACGTCAAACGTCAAATAGCTGATCTCAAAGTGAAATCATGTATGAATTTTTCATAAATTCTTAGATGAACATTTAACATTTTTTTATTTTTCCTGGTTTAGAAAAAATAAAATTTATTTCTATTAAATAGTAAAACACTTAAAGTAACAAAAAAAAGTTTTCGGTGAGCAAAGTGCGCAATTCTCTAACAAGCAATGGTGAAGCAAAACAAACAATTTTTGCTAATATTTCGCTAATATTCTAATATTTATAATAGTGTCCGTCCCCTAGACTGTTTTCGTCTAAAACTCGGCTCCGCACAGTCCTGCCTATTTGTAAATTTTACCCTTTTGGTGTGGGGATGCTGTCATCTATTTTATTTATAGACTATGATTGAGCAAAATGAAAGCCTCGAAGAAAAACAACATATTTTTCGTAAGTTTGAAAAGAAGGATACTTTCTTGTTTAATAGGAGAAAATAGAGGATTTTTCAGGTTGATGAATTGGCATTTTTTAGGAAATCTCGTCAACAACTACTCAATTTGTTCCATTATGAAATTGTATTAGAATTTTGCCAAATTATTTTATGTTTTTCCTCTAAGATGTTCAAATGTAGTTTTTCTTTGTCCTTCAGACTTATTGCGTAGAGCATCGCCAATACGCACTTCATTCCCCTTGAATATATCTATATAACCTATCTATCTAGCGGCTGCTACTTGAATCGCAGAAGTATAACTCAGAGGCAACGAATCGATATCTGTATTTCATATAGTAAGTACGATGGATGTACGTTGTTGGCGTTGATTGCATCCCATTATTTGTCTGTACATTTGGCGACATGGGTAACGTTTGTATTGGAATTTCATTGATGATTGTAGAAAATTGATGCGATTCCATTTGATGCCAGTTAAAAGAGACGCTTTGGTTGTTTCTTATTTCATTTTCTGATAAGTGAAAACCTTTGTGCGTCAGCCGTTGTTGCCATTGACATTTCATGCATACAGGCGCCATTTTCATTGTCTTTTTTGTCCTTACTTGATGCGGACGGTTAAAACCGTAAGTATACATTATAATGGATAAATTCCGTTTGCACTAATACGGGGCTCCACACGAAATGGTGTATCATTTGGAATAAATTACGGCCAAATTATTGGACCTGGAACATTAGGTGTAAGTACATTCCATGTGTCACATTATTAAAAAAGCCTGTGATTCTTCGTCCGGTATTTGCTATTTAAAATAAAAAATATATAAAATTCGAAATTATCATCTCTCGTTTTAATTCTTCTCACAGAACAAACATTTAAGACTATTTCGCAACTAAAAAATTATAAAGGAGATTGATTGTGTTTGTATCTTAGTTCAAAGACACAAAAACATCCCGTTAAATAATTTTCATTATTCTAGTAGTATTAATATCAATAGCGATCATTCGTAGCGATTCCACTTCAAATAACAAAACTGTTGTTTATATCTTATGTCGAAAATTGACATAGAAATGAAAATGAATCATCAAAGTGAAAGTTTTTCAATTTTTTACCGTTATTTAGAATTATATCAATTGAGACAAAATAGATTTTGGACACGTTGGCTTGCTGATTGCAAATTTGTTTTTTTTTTCATTGCCACCTGTTATACGCAAAAATATGTAGATAAATAGAAGTTATTCGTCTTAATAAGATTTAAATGTATTTTTGATTTTTATTTGTTCAGCAAAACATGATTTGAATTTTTTGTTTTAATCAATTAAGGATATAGCATGAATTTCGTTATTTGTAATCATTAAATTGATTTTTTTATTCACAACATTGGACCACAATATTTTACGAATTACATTTTTGGTTGTAACAAAACATTCAACCCAAATCTTTTATGATTAAGCTGGCGATGTAACTTCATGGCCCGTCGATTCAGAGGTGGTGTCTTTGATGTTTTTGTAGATGGAATACATAACGATAAACAAATAGGCGAAACCGACTGAAAATGTAATAAGATTAAATCAGATGCATATTACCGACCTTTTTATCTAGATTCATTACCTGTTAAAATGCAGTGAATAAAAAGCGAAATGTCTAACAACATTTTACGATCAAATGATGTGACTGCCAACTTTAAATATAATACCATCGTAAACACCACACCAATGTACAAAACAATTGTAACTACTGCAACCGTGATAACATTGATTAACATATAACTTGGTCGATTCTATAAAAATGAAGAGCAACCATAGATTCTGGAGTTGACGATTTAAGGGGGGGGTAATTTGAGAAAATCTGAAGGGGGGTAATTTTGAAAGTCCATTCTATCCAGTGTAAATTTGCTTTCGGAAAAAAAGTTGAGACCGAAAAAAAATTTGAAATTTTTATTATGACATATTCCAGTAATCACTAATATTATTACATTATTTTATTAAAATTAAAGATACAAGTTTTTTTTCATTTCCACTTCATTAATATGTAATTAATTTGATGATTTCACAAAAATGATGGTTTCGGCAAGAATTTTTTTGCCTTATCCTCGACTTCTGTCAAAGATACAGCTTTGTTTCGGCGACCTTTCGGGTCATCCGTTCGATAATGCTTTTGTTTTATAAATTCATTTGCGTACTTGCTTGCAGCGAACTTTTCTATTTCATTCACACTATTTATTCTAATGCGCATTATATCTTCCATATGTTTTGGTAATAATCTCGACCGCCGTGAGGTTTTCAAATGATTCATAATGGAAAAGCCTCTTTCTGCCTCAGCGCTACCAACTGGCAATACGAGCACTGTTCGAATTAGCTGCTTTGTCCGGTCAGTCCAATCAATGCCTTCTTCATTGAGAAATCTAGTCCAAAATACATATGTTTCTGTTTTATCGTCTCTGTATTCACAGAACTTTTCGTGATCCATTATAGATATTACTAACTTTGTCCAGTCGGAAACTGGCATACAAATGAAACAAATGTGTGTATTTTTATTCAAACTGATGAACTTTGTGTTTTTATTTAAACATAGACAAACAAATCAGATGTACATTGTATATGGAATGCATCGATTGATTTCAACTTGATATGATAAATCTTCTTATTTTTGCTCAGTGAACTAAAAGCGAAATTGCAGAGTTTAAGTAATGATGAAATCATGATATGATATTTCACTATATTACCTTCTGTAAACCAAAGTCACTAATACTAGTGTCGATATTGAATCTTTTGACATTTTCTTCTTTTTTAAGAATTATGCTGCCGTTCCGTGAAAATCTGGCTTCTGCTATAACATCAGCACTCGTACAACTACTTTGACATCCACCCATTATTACTAGTTTCCAATTTTTTTTTGTAAACTCTCTTTTTTTCGTCTATTTGAAGTTGTTACACACTTCGACTCGAGGTGAGTTCGCAATGAATTTAAATTCTTTGGAGTAATCATATCAATCGCCGATAATAATTTGATTCGAAAATGCAGATGTGCAAAAACTGAGACATAAACAATATAGTTGATCGAACTTAATCAATTAAATAATCAAACAGTTGACCGGACTTAATTGTTTTGTCTACGGCGAATAAATAAATTTTGTTTAGTCGGACATTCGAATATGAAAATTGAATTTTTGAAAAACCTCAGCAAATCGGAATAATTTTTGCTCGAAAATAAAAATGGGAGTGGGTACTTTCAAAATCACAGAGGGGGTAAATTCGTTGCTCAGGGGGGGGTATTTTGTACCCTGGACCCCCTGGTCAGAATCTATGAGAGCAACATACTTGTATGAATTTCGCCAATTTTACTTAGGAATTTGTTTTACCTCATAAATTCCATAAAGCCAACAAGCACTGATAACCAATCCAAATACTGAAATTTAACACAATAATTTTAATCGAATGAAGTGTTATGATGCTTCAATTGCTTTACCATTTGATATCCCATTTACATATACATTTTCAATTCCATATAGAAATACAAATATTACGCTTAGAAATATAGAAACACAAGAAGTTAGAGCTCCAAGCCAACCAATTATTAATCCACTCGTTCTTAAATCGAAACAGTCACAAAAATTAGAAACGATTGGTAAATTTATACTGAACATTTTATAATTTTTATTTGTCTCGCGATTTAAGTGATAGTAATCAAATGCTTAACGACTAAGAATATGCGACGAAAGATGCACAGATGCTTTCGCCTAAAGAAATAAAACAAGAATGATAAAGAGTATTCAGATTATTTTATTTTTCAATTTAGAATGAAATAGAACGCCCAAATGCTTAAGATTAACATAGTTTCGCGCAGTCTACACATCCCTACGTATGTCCGTAGTGTATGATATAACTTGCTTTAATTGAGATTAATTAAATGTTATTTTTTTCTCACATACAAAAATATAACTCAGAGGCAACTGAAAGAATCTTGGAGAGAATGGAAACTATTTAAAATGTCATTCTAACTTTTACAAAACATTTAACAAACACACTGTTCGTCAACGTTCACAACTGAAATACACCACTACTTTGATAACTTCGACAATGAACTTTTTTTATACCGAATTTGGTGCCATTCGATATTTCAACGTAGTATAATAATATCTTTCGCGTTTATCCTGTTATACAGTATGTAACATAAGTGAATGCTGACATTTTCACCAACATATTCTTGGGAATTTGACAAGTAAAAAATTATATGACCAACTTTCCGTCAGAAGCTATTTTAATAAAAATATCGCCCATCGAACTCTTTGGGTCAACATTTTCATTTTTCTGATGAGTACAGATTGTCACTTTGTTCATACGAACAACAACGTTCAACGAACAACGAACACGTTTGTTTTTTCCGAGTTAATGGAAATGTATAATTCAAATGATTTTTTTGTTCGGTCTGGAGACATCAATGGGCATAGATGTGCAGGAAAAATTTATGCAGTGGCACGCAACTTTAGTCAAATATACGATCTATTTGTGACCAGAGCTGGGCACGAACATGTACGACTGTGATCGGTCGTTTGTGTGCGTTTTTTTCAATTTTTGGTGATATTTAAATGTGGTGATATCACTACGTTCGTTCGTTTGTGCGATCGAACAACGAACACGTCCACGATTGTTTGGAGAGAAAAAAAACAATATATTTGCTCGAGATTTGGAAGTAAATTTTAAAACGTTTGAAATTCCATGTGAACTACACTAAGAAAACTGTCAGTACAATTGCCGCCAAAATTATACGTAAATAGTATCATTGTAGAATCATACCGAAACCACTACAATCATACTATTGGCAGCAATTGTACTGACAGTTTTCTCAGTATAGTTCACATGTTTGATTGAGTTCAAAATGTATATGATTAAAATAGAATTGGCATTGGAGAAAGTGTTTTTTAAAATGATTTTATTGAAATGAACTTCTGTATTCAATATTATGGATGATGATAACGCATTGTTGATGTATGAAAAAGCACTGTTCATATTTATAACCAGAATATTCCTTGCACTCTTATCAAAAATTCAAAATATAAAAAAATTGATAACAAGGAAAAAAACAAAAAAGAAAAAATCAATGTATTGTAATTGTTCAAGAAAGAACAAAGAATGTCAATGTAGTAGTAAAGTACGGCACTGCAAGTGATGATGAAGAATTACGTTGGTGGTACCGATTGATCAATGAGAACGGGAAATCATTGTGTCATCAAATCAAAGTGTTATTAGTTGCTTCGAAGCGTCTATCACTCAGACGATGAACTCTCCATTTTTATAAGTGTTTTGATATTGTTATGTCATCAATATTGGTTTCTTACTATTCGATACACGCATGAATTATTTTCTTTTTCTATTTTACGTTTTAGTTTGTGCTCTCTTTGATATTTTCTTATGGAAAAGCATTCATTAGATGGTGAAATTGAAGATCATAAATGTGACAATATTGATGTTCATAATTTAGTAAGAATTGTATTATATTTTAAAAATTATCTGTGTATTTCGCGTGTTTTGTTGTTGTAAATGGAATTATTGAGTTAAAATATTTGTTTCTTTGTAGGCCTTGAGAAAGAACCCCACATTGGTTCGAAACTTCGGCAATAATTAATAAATAACATTGATTCAAAACGAACCTTTGACCGTTTATTGGCTTTACTACTAAATTATTCATTGGATCGGTCGGTAGAACTTCTCAAAGAATGTCAATTTAGTTTTACGGAATGTTTAAACAACAAAAGTTAAAAAGTATACAGTTTTTAATATCGTTTTTCAAAAAATATGCATTAAATTTAAGTAACTTCTTCGCAAAAGTCAGAGGGTAGAAAACACTTATATTGCTAAAGATTTGTACACATTTCGATTTTTGTAAATAATGTGACTCTTTGTGATAGTGTTTCCTACTCTCTGGTAAAAGTACAGTCATTAGTTCAATTATTTAGAAAATAATATTTCTTTTGCTTTATTCTGCGTGCCAACGTTTTACGCTTTTTTAAGTATAAAGTTCAGATAATTGTGAAAAATGAAAGTGGAAATCGTGTTAATGTTTGTGCTGGCAATATCAACAACAAGCTCATTAAACATTCTGGGACTGTTTCCATATCCGGGTGAGAGTCATTTCAAGTTTTTTCATCCAATCATGCGTGGACTTGCTGACGCTGGCCATAAAGTTACAGTTGTGAGCCACTTCCCAGACAAAAATGCACCAGAAAACTACAATGATTTGCTATTGACGAAAACTACTTTGGATAGGAACTCTCTTACTCTGAAGGTAATTAAAACCAGATAAGATATACAAGCAGATAGAAGTGCAAGCATATCTAAGATATACGAAAACTTACCACTTCTCCGTTGACAAAATATGTATTTACGTTTTATACAGCACCGAGCCTAATTCAGTACCAATTACTTACAGGAGTTTAAAAATGAGTCCTGGTTTAAGAATTATCAGAACTTTTTTCTATTGAACAAAATGGGAATTAAAACATGTGAAATCGCATTCAACTCTACTAGTGTGCAGAAAATTTTGAATACGAAACCAAAATATGATGTCATTTTGCTAGAACAATTCAATAATGATTGTATGGTAGCAATTGCGTGGAAAATACAAGCACCTGTAATTGCTTTAAGCAGTTGTTTGTTGATGCCATGGCACTACGATCGTTTTGGAAATCCATTGATTCCATCATATATTCCTGCGCTCTTCACGGCATACACAGACAAAATGAATTTTATTGAACGCCTCAACAACTGGATTACCGTCAATGTATTGAAACTTATGTACCAGTAAGGTTTTTTTGTTAATATTCTGAAGGGTTAATTTATAGGGTTTTATTTTGAATGATATACATTTTCAGTGGTTCAGCTGAGATTTTGTAAACATCTTTCATATAAATGTCGTTAATGATATGTGTTTTTACTCTATTGTTTTATGAAACAGTTTTTAAATTATTCTTATTCTGAATTTTCACACTAGCTATATAGCAATGCCAGCAACAGATGAAATAATACAAAAATATATGAAAAATGACAATATTCCAGCGATTAGCGAACTTGTTAAGGAAACAAGTTTGATGTTCACAAACAGCCATTATTCACTCAGTGGCTCACGGCCAAATGTACCAAATGTTATTGAATTAGGTGGAATTCACATTAAAGAAGAACAACCCCTAGATGCAGAGCTAAAAACTTTCTTAGACTCGGCCACAGATGGTGTGATTTATGTTAGCTGGGGTTCTAAAGTACTTGCATCATCGTTACCAGACCAAAAACGTGAGAGTCTGCTTAAAGCTTTCGGTTCATTAAAACAGAAAATTTTATGGAAATTTGAGAATGACGCACTCCCAAATCAACCCGAAAACGTATTCATTCGTAAATGGTTGCCGCAAAGAGATATATTATGTAAGTAATGTTCAATTGTACATAAATGGAACGACTATGTTAAATGTTGATTGAATTATATGTCACTTTAGGTCATCCAAATGTTCGTGTATTCATGAGGTAATTTTTGTTTTAAAAAGTATGATTTTCAATGAGAAAAGTTTAATAAATGTATTTGATAGCCATGGAGGATTAATGGGACTCAGTGAAGCAGTCTACTGTGGCGTGCCACAGGTGATTACTCCTTTTGGTGGCGATCAATTTTTAAATGCAGCCGCAGCAAAGACGCGTGGTATAGGGGTCATTGTCCAATATGAGGATATAACGGAAGATAATATTAGAAGAGCAATTAATAGCGCTTTGTCATCGGAAGCATTACAAAATGCAAAAACAGTATCTTATTCATTTCGAAATCGGCCCAAAACACTTCTTGATACGGCCGTTTGGTGGGTAGAATACGTAGCCGAAACACGAGGGGCGCCTTTATTAAAATCGCATTCAACCAATTCATCTGCATTCATTTATTATTCTTTTGATATTTACATTACAATTGCAACCGTTTTCATTGCAATCACTGTTCTATTCATCTATATAGTAGGCAACATATGCAAAAGAATGAAAAAACTAAAAACTGATTAGGAAATAGTTGATATAAGATTTTTGACTTTAAAAAATTGTTGTGGCGATAAACATAGAAAAAAAAAGAGGATAACTCTAATACTAGCAATAAAAAATCAAAATAGAATTCAACCAATACCATAAAATCGAATTATACTACAAACGACTACAAGAATTTGTATCTATTTTTCAGTAAAATTACAAAAACTTTTATTTAAAATATTTCATTTTGAAATTTTAAAATAAATTGTCGTATCTACACGAATAACGTGAATTTGTAATGAAATTAAAATTATTCCAGCAACTCAATCCATATTACTGTGTAATACACCAAAACATGGTTTGCGTAATAAATGCTGCCATAAACACGTTGAACTTTAATTCTTGTAGTTGAGCTGAATAGCGAATGAATGGTAAGATTTGTTTTTTAGAAACAACTGCCAGACGGATTTTTCTTAGATTCACCAGACTATTGGCCAATATTTCCATATCATCCTCACTCAAATTTTCACACCACAATACAGTCAAGCTTTGTAGCAACATACTGCGATAAACTTAATATATCGACATCTTCCATATAAACTAACATCATTTCAGTGAATTCAGGAAATGAATGATAATCATCTTGTGAAGGTATCAAGAATCGGCCATTTAAGCCATGTCGAAGGCCGTTCATACGCAAATAAAGACAATTGTAAAAGCCTCTTAAGCGAAGTTTGTTCAAAGGATTCAAATAGAGTTGGAATTTATTTGGACGTATGGCCAATTTTCTGAAACCCAACATACTTCAAGATGCTTCAATTTAGGAGAAGAGCTAAGCCGATAGTACAGATCACATTCAATTTAACCTTAGGTCACGATTTAACCTCAGGTCTTCGACTTCGTTCAACGATTCCCTGATAGATCCAATTTGGGCTGACGAAAGTACTACGTTTTCGAACTGAAGCTTTTTTAATACATTGTTAGATCTTGATGGAATGTATGAAAATGAAGTGTTAAAATTAAATTTGATATTTTCCATAAAATCACTAAACACATTCATTTCCAAATCGTGCATATAAATGCCATCAGCCTCTATACGCAATGGCATAATCCAATCCTTCATTCTCTGCTGTAAATATATGCCGACAATTCGGTGCATTCGTTTACAGGCTTGACCAATGGAAACGATGTCACTTATGGTCATCCATTCGAATACTTCGCCCCACCGAATTTGGTACCAGGCAGACATTTTAATGCTACAATGATTTCATACAAAATGAGTTCATCTATAGAGCAAGCGGATAGAAATAATAGAAACAACCGAAAAATGTAGATTTTTTCACAAATTCCAAAATTTTTATTTAAAATTGTTCATTTTGAAATGTGTTTCGTTCAACGAATGGAATGTGATTTTTTATCTGGAATATAAATGTTTGTTCATATCAAATATTTGATAAAATGTTTAATTGATTCGTTCACAATATGCAGTCCAGAGTTGGTCACGATAGAGTTCGGCTGTTGCACGAATATCCTTTGCGTTCAGAATTCCCCGTCCAACAACGGCAATATCAGCGCCCTTCTCTTTGACAACATATGCTGGCGTATTGTATTGTTGTCCCAAACCATCTGTGGTTGTATCGATTTTGCAACCGGGTGTCAATTGCAAAAGACCCGGATCTTGAACAACGCCTTTTGTTTGACAAACAATGCCAGCAACGAAATCAGCGTCTGGTGAGCTCGACACAAGTTTCATCGTACTTTCTGTATACGATGGTGTAATAAGGCTGCCGGCTGAACTAAGTTCGGCCAATAGAAAAACGCCACGTTTCTCTGACGATCCATTCAAAGCATTTTTCAACCCTTGCAAAATGCTGGGCCCAGTAAGTGAATGTACGGTCACCAAATGCGCCCAATCAGCGATATGGAAGATGCCTGAACCATATTGCAATGAAACAGTATTTCCGATATCGGCAAATTTACGATCTTCCATAATCAAGAAATTATGCTTTGCGGCCAGAGCCGTCAATGACCGGACGAATTCATCATTAAAGTCATCGATAATGTCGATGTGAGTTTTCAATACACAAATGTATGGTCCGGCTGCGTCAGCTGCATTCAAAATGTCTACCGTTTTATTGCTATCGGCGGCCAAGCACAAATTCGTCTTTTTCGATATGATAATTTGAAGTAAGTCTTTTGCGATTGGGCTCTTTGACAATTTCAAACGTGCTTCATAGCTCAATTTTGTGCGATCGATTGTTGGTTCCTCTTTTTGTTTTACTGAGGCTTGATTATTTGCTATGTATTCGGAGATTTCTCTCACGCAAACGTCATCGATGCGATTGGCAGATCGAAGAATACCCAAAAATTCAGAGATTTTGAAAAGTGAATGTACACGGACGCCGTTCCGGGTGATATTTGCCGCTCCACCTTGCTCACGGTCGATCACAACAATCGCATCATTTACCACGATTCCTAACAGAGTTAAAAGGCGATTTTTTTTAGATTAATGACGAAACATAAATATGAAAATGTATGTGTGTTTACCTTCGGCACGCAAATCGCTAACAGTTTCCAAAATACTCGAACCTGAGGTAATAATGTCTTCGATTATCAAACATGAATCGCCAGCACCAAATTTTCCTTCGATCAATTTTTTTGTTCCGTACGATTTGGCTTCTTTGCGTCGAATTAACATTGGTTTCTGTTGTTTCGACGATAACAAAGTTGCGATCGGCAATGCTGTGTATGGAACACCACAAATATGTTCGTATTCGACTTGTTGCTCTTCCACAAAATTCAACAGTAAGTTCGCCAACAAATCCTAACATTCGAAATGTCGAAAAATAATCAAATGGATGCAAAAAAAATCATATTTTCTTCTAAACATACCATAACATCGGGGTGGGCGATGATGACACGCAAATCAAAATAAATTGGCGTTTGAAGTCCGGATTTCGTTTGGAAATTTCCAAACTTAATGGCATCAATTTCATGCAATTTGATTGCAAGTGTTTTTAATACTTCTGAAGAGTCAGCGACCATGATGACCGTTTTGTCAGACTTGTTATTGTCGAATGTGTAGCAAACAATTTATTTTTAAATTTTTTAAAAAAACGAGTAATTCAATCAAAGGTGAATTATGCGGCGTATAAAATTTTATCAGTTGACACTAACCTCACATATGTCTATCATATGGTTTTAAACAAATATATATGTTGCCATGTATATAAGTCCATTGACAATGACATGCTGAATAACTGACATCGGGCAATACGAACTTCGATTGTCATAACAAACCGATAAATGTGCACACAGTCTGACTAACCTTTCAATTTTTTTTAATGAAAATATAAAGTGAAAAAATCAACTATGATTCGAAATATTTCCGTTCGTAGTTTTTACACAAGTTGTACGCACTTGAAAAAGGGTCCAAGCAAAGCCAAAAGTCATAGTTCACACCAATGGCTGACACGACAGATGACTGATCCGTTTGTGGAATTAGCCAAAATGAAAAATTATAGGTTCGTTTGGTTTCGCATATTTACAATTTCTTCAAAAAGTTTCTGAATTTGATATATAATTTAACTGACAGAGAAACGAAATTCCGTCATTCAGTTTAAAGTAATAATACATTCACGATAAAGAGTTGTTTTTTCAGTAATTCGCTTTTTGCCAGTGTTGAACGAATAACAAGCCAATTTTCAGTTTATTTTCATAAAGAAAACAATGGTCGTTTAACTAATTTCAGGTGTCGAAGTGCATTCAAATTGCTTGAAATAAATGAGAAAACCAAAATCTTACAACCCGGTCAAACAGTCATTGATTGCGGAGCATCGCCGGGTTCGTGGACGGAAATAGCAGTGAACGAAACTAATGCCAATGGGAAAATGAAGAACAAACCAAAGGGATTTGTTATCGGTATTGATTTGCTATCGATTCATCCCATAGAGGTAAACTAAAAAAAATCTTGTCCAATCCATTTTTTTTCAATTTATGTTTTAACTTATTTGGTTTGTATTCAAACAGGGCGCTCATTTGCTAAGCCATTCAGATTTTACTCTCACAAAGACCCAAGATCAAATTCGAGAACTTTTGAAAGGACGAAAAATCGATTGTGTACTCTCTGATATGGCACCCAATTCAACTGGTGTTCGAAGTTTGGATCAAGACAAAATTATGGACTTGGTATACAATGTCTTACGGTTTGCCATTTTAATGTCATCCGAAAATGCCAGCCTCTTGGTCAAAATTTGGGACAATGGAAATGTGAAGAAATTCGAAGAGATTGCACTTCGTTATTATAAAACTTTCAAACACATAAAACCAGAAGCGTCGAGAAGCGATTCAGCCGAAAAATTTCTCCTGGCCAAAGACTTTCGAGGACTTGAAAATATTACCAATTCCAGCTCTAACTAGTTTTATATCTGAACACGTACGTTTCTAAACAAGTAGAAAATAAATAAGGACTTCACTATCATTGTTATTTATATTTTTTGAGACCAATAAAAATATCATTGAAAATGAAGAATGATTTTGGATGATTTTGGCTAGAAATAAAGCCGAGTAGACGGATCGATACCCATCTTCTATATCAATCGTGCACTCAATTTCCATGAATAAATTTGTCTATCAAATCAAATAAGGTTAATATGAAAAAACTCAGATTATATGGTTTTTGTGCTCTTGCACTAATGATTTCAATTTACTATTCGAATGGTAAAAATAAATTATAAAATCATTTTATTTTCTACTATCGTGATCACTTGTCATTCGAAATATATCAAGATAACTAATTATAGCCAAAGTGCTCAGAATAATCAAATTTACTTGAAATTAGTTTCATCTTACTCAAGCAGTTCCCCTGTAAATGTTCCAATTTAAAAACCTTACCAACACAAAAACACAAATAACATCCAAATTCAGTCCCTTCAGGCTACTCAAGCAAAAAATGTAAGCGGTTCGTTTCATTGGTAAAGAATATATTCAAGTTTATTCATTACGTTATTTTTTTTAATAAATTGTGACTAATAAAAAAA